CCCCTGGGGAGGGCACAGAGAAAAAGCTCTCTCCCTGGCTTCCAGACACCCTTCTGCCTCAAGAACAAGGGAAGCCCAACTAAGTCAGACAAACCAGGAGGCCGAGCGAACCGCCCCAGCCGGTCAATGATCAATTCCCCCCCCCCCGGCACTGGGCTGGGCGTTTTGAGGGCGTGCAAAGGCTTGAGCAGCAGAAAAGAGGAGCAAGAGGCAGGAGCTGTGCCCAAACGTTTTGAGTCCTTTACACCTGCGTACAGGCTTTGAGGAACTCATCCACCCAAACCCTGGGGAACCCGATGGTCTGCTTCCAGCAGGCTTCCTAAGGCCGGGATCCTACAAGACGCTGGAACCAGGTAAAAGAAAGAGCCAACCATAGCTTCTCTTTCAGACTCGGGGGGGGGGGCATGGGGCGCGCACGTTCTTTCGGCTTCATCAGCAGAAGCGCCAGAGAGAGCACTCCTTCCCGGTAGACATGGCTTCACAGCCCATCTGTCCCAGGGCTGGCCTCGCGAACTGGCCTGGAGCCTGCGAGGCGTGGCAGAAGGGGAGCCCGCCGTTAAGGCGAGGGCTTCAGCCCTGGACTCAAACCCTTGCTGCTGGGTCCCTTGTGTCCAGTACCGAATGACAGCCATTCCACTGGAAGAGCCCCAAAGATGTCCCCATTTGGCCTCAGCCTCCCTTGGCTCTTGCAATGGATTTAAATGGGGCTTGTGGCTGCCCGGAGGCTGGGAGGGAACCTTTGTTAGGAAGGGCCCCTTTTGCGCTGAAGAGGGCCCCATAGGGCCTGCCCACGGAACAGACACCCGCCAACGGGCAAAGAAGGGAAAGCTGAGACCCTGCACGCTCTTTCCCCTCTTCCGCTGCCCCATGAGAAGAGGGAGGCTTTCCTCCGCCACCGTGAAGATGGCCGCACTCTGACAGCACAGGACGTTTGCCCCCAAGGCTTTGGAGGTTTGATCTGGGGGGAGACACAGAGAGAAGAGGGCTACCGAGGGCAGACACAGGGTCAAGCCCCTTAGTTTCTTCGGAAGAGGGCCAGTGCCTTCATTGAAAAAAGAGTCAACGCCTAAAATATTTGCTTTAAGCTTGCTCTCTGTTGTTGTCCAAAACTGTGGACTCCCAGATGAAGTATCGGCCGGAGGATCTCCCGCTTAGTGAGAGGGAGGACAGGGCTGGCCTGCAAGAACCTGGATCATCTACGGCAGGGACAGGAAGGGACCCAGACAAGCCACTTAAATACGTCCGTATTTTCTATGTATCCCATGAAGGGATAAAGGGATTTGTTTAGACAGCTACAGAGGAATGGGGCGGTCATTTGGCATAGAGTCTGAATCACCCCACAGCCTCAGAACGAAGCATACTTTTCGCCCCCTCTTTCTGCATTTAGCATAAGAGAGGAGGTCAGCTTCCCTCGTTTCAACTTCTTTTGTCCCGGCTCTCCCTGCAGAATTAAAGTGTGCACAAGGCCTGTGGAGAGAATCTTGCCATGAAATCCATCAAGGACGTGTTTATCCTGCTGAAAGCCTGTGTATGAAGGGGAGAGACGTATTTTCCAGGGAGCTGGTCTCAATTCAGGTAAGGCCATCCTCCCTTTCCAGCAGCAGATAGAAGAGGATCCGTCTCTACCTGGGGGGGGGGGGTGACCAGTTTGGGGGGGGATGGACTTGAGCCAGGCTCCAAAACCTTCCCTCCCTCAGAAATTCAGGAGCTCTGCCACCAGATTCTGCAAAGCATATAAGGGGGGAAGCTCACCTTTCCGCAATAAATGTTCCGGCGCAGGGTGTGGGACGTGTGGCCGGGAGGGAGAAAAACAGAGTTAGTGGTTCTTGTCTAGAAAGAAAACCAGGGCGGGATCTCCTTCCGCCGCAAAATGGGCTTCTTGGCCAAGGGCCCTCGTGAGTGTGCAAGTTTGACAGAAAGGAAGCACACGGACATGCCAGAGAGAAGGCTGGAGCAAGCAGCAGCAACAGCAGCAACCCCACCCCACCCCATGTGTTCCCCAACCCCTCTCCTCCCCCTCCCAAGAGAAACCCAAAAAACCAGGGCAGGCTGGAGAGGCCAATTCTCGGAAAGAAGGCGGGTGGAGGTTTACCTGTTCCTGAGGCTCAGGCTGGCGGCTGCAGCAGCCGGGACTGGCTGCCATTTGTAGCAAGTGGAGAGGAGAGGAGGGAGCTCGGAGGGGCCGGGGGAGAGACCCTGCCGGTTCCATGTGCTCAGCGCCCTGCCCAGGGAAGGGGGCACCGAGGAGAACAGATCAGCTGGCCCGGAAGGGGAACCTTTTCTAAACCCCTTCAGGCCCTCCTGGGCAAACGGCAGCAGCATCGGCTTCGGGAGACACGGGCTCCGACGAGCCAGGCGTCGCTTCTTCGCCCAGAGCCGGGAGCAGCCCGGGGAAAGCAGAGCCAAGACGGTTTGGAGGCCACGGAGGTTCTGGGCGATGGCATCTCCCACCAGGGCTTTGATTGCACTCAGAGAGGAGGACTGGGCGTCCTTCTGGATGGGTGCCACATTCAGGCAGCTCGGAGACAGGAGGAAAGAGAAAGTCCATCCGGACGCCTGCCAGGTGGGGACCTCCCTGGAAGTCGCCCTCTGGGAGATGCTCAGCAGGGCTGGGCTGCCCAGCAGGTTCCTCGTCGGGCTGGGATCCATTTGTATGTGGAAGGACACGGGGAAGACTGGAGTGCAGAAGGCCAGCGGCGCTTTGCTGTCCAGCCCGAAGAAGCAGCACACCTTGGTGGACTCGATGGGATAAAAGCCCACCGGCTGAGAGTGGAACATCCTGAAACAGCCACCACTGCTGTTCATCCACGGAGCGTTTAACTTGATACTGACACAGGAGAACATTTCTGGGAGCTTCTGGCTTCCAAGGTGGTTGTATTTTTCCGGCATAGGAAGCAGCTCAGACGAGTGCAGGAGCGGCTTGAACTTTCGAGGATTTCTCGAGGGCACCAGCAATTTATCGGCCAACTTGGAGAGCTTCCGCAGGAGAGGTGGGTCTTTGGCCCGTCGGCCGAGCCCGAAGGGGTCCAGCCTGGTGCTCCGGCTGCCTCGGGGCTTTGGGGCGCAGTCCCAGGTCACGGCTCTCTCGCTTCTCGGCGCGGCCAGTGCCGTGGCAGAGCAAGGGGCGCCCATGGGCTTGATCCCAGGCCTGGGGTTCTTGAGGGAAGCAGGACTTGGCCGTGGGCGCCCTTCTTTCGGAGCCTTGAACTTGCCCAGCGCGGGACCCCTCTCTGAGTGCCTCCTGAACAGAAGCGTGGGTTTCCTTCTGCACGCACTTTCAAAGGCACGCCGGCTTCCTTCACCGCTAAAACCAACCGATTTTGACAACACGCAGGAGACTGGAAGAGGGCGAGTCTTATCCTCTGATGGCCGGAGAGGTTCCCTGAAGCCAAGCTTCGGGCTTCCTCCTTCCATCGGCCTCAACTCCATAAAGTCTGCGGATCCCTTTGGCCTTCCTGGTTCCCTTAAAGGGCCGGACGGGGTCCCACTACCACGGCTGCTCCATAGGCTCCTCCTCGGGAGGGCCTGATGCCCAAGGTCTCCAGGTTTCACCCTCCTCCTGAGGGAAGAGCTGCCGAAAAGGGGCCCCGTGGCAAGGATTGTCCGCCTCAGGAATCCTCTTGCTCCCACCTTCCTTCCGGTTCGGTTCCATTGACTAAGTCCACCACACGCAGCTCCAGCCTGAGTGGCCGTCGGCTCCGCTTCCTGCTCCAGAGCCTTTGCTGTGGGTTTGGGACCCCCTCCCAATTCAGGAGCTCCCGTCTTAACCGGCGCCTCAGTGGCGTGGCTGCCTGAGGGACTCTCCGGCAGCAGCTTCTTCTGCTCTCCTGCTGGCTCCCGGCTGGCTCCCGCAGCCTGCAAACACCTGCCTTCCCTTCGCAAGCATGGAGTAGGGGCGCCTGACAGGCGGCTGTCTCGAAAAGCCAAGGTTATAGACCTGGAAAGGATCTCTGGGGAATTTCTTTTTGGAAATAATTGCCAAGCGTAACTCCTGTTCTCTTCATGCCGCTCAAGATTTTCTGTTGATTTTGAGGGATCTTTGGCTTGAGTCCCGCCACGTTCTGAAGCACATTCTTGGAGACTCACCCAAGGCGTTCGTATCTCTATTTTCTCCTCTAGCGGGAAGGTCCTTTCTTCTGTCCCTACGGGAAACGGCAAGCTTTGTACGGGAACACCCAAAGAATCTTTAGTGTCCGTGGGTGGACTGCTCACCCTCCTGACCTCTTCCAGTGAGAGTTCAGTCTCCTTCAAGGTGGGATCCGGGCTGCGTTTGGGTGTTCCCAACACAATTCCTCCTGTCCTTTGCTTGTCACCTACAGAACATAGGCCAGTTTCAGGGGCGGCCAGGGCAGAATCGACACAGGCAGCCTCTTTGACAGAAAAGCGTATGTGAGCCTTCTCTGAAATGACTAAGTTGACCTGATCATCAGCTTTGCTCTCTGCCGAAAAGGTCCCTGAAGGATGCTCTTCAACCCGAGGAGAGGAAGGAGCTTTTGAAGCCGGTAAACTAAACGGTCCATCTCTCTGAGATAACCAGGATCCTGGAGTTTGGAGAGGCTGCACAGCTGCCAAGTTAGATCTTTTTTTGTTTCGAAACGACTCTGCATCCACTCCCTCTGTACTTCTCTGATCCTCAAGAAGGATAAAAGTTGGTAGGTCTGGCTGGAAGCAGGTTTGACCCGGAGGTGAAGCTGGCTTGCTGTTACACTTTAGAGATGGCTTTTGATCTGGCACATTGGACGGGTCCCCACCAACTGCTGCAGGAACAGAACAGAATTCCTCCGTTTTAACTTGATAAGGCTGATCCTGAACGGGCTGAGGCCACTTCGGAGTCCTGGAGAGATTTTCCAAGCTCCCTAAACACAGCTTTGAATTTTCCAGCTCTTTGGGATCTTTTTTCCATAGATTTCCGTTTAACTCTGGCACCGTTTTATCAGAGGAGCCTATTGTGTTTGGCTGAAATGTTTCCTGAACATCCTTTTCCAGTAAAAGCTTGGAAGCTGGCAGAGTTAGGTCTTGGGTCTTCTGCGGACCTGGGGGTTCATTCTGATGGCAGCTGGCCTGTTTTTGAGCTTCTTCAGCTGAATGGGTCACAGTTGATATACCAGGATCTCCATTCTGCCTCTCAGAGAACATCAAAGGAAGTGGAGAGCATTCAGAGAGAGACGCTGTCTCCAAGGATTTATTTTTCTGATGAAACAACGTTGGGCTGTGAGGATGACCGTTCTGTGTTTCCTGCTGACCAGCGGTTTTCCTTGGCTGATCAGGATCTGGATGATGTAAATCCACCAGGAGCAGAGAACAGCCTTGCCACTGTGCCTGGTCTGGACAACAAGGGTCCAGGCGAGGCTCCAAATTAGAGAGGTGACTTGCAGAGGGGAAGGTGGGAGGATTGGGGTTCCCTTCCGACTCTTCCTTGCTGCGATCGTTCACAAGCCTGGCAAGTTCACAAAGGGCAGTTTCGTCCACATCTCTGTCCTGTGCAGGCTTTCCTGCCAATGCACGCCCCTGGCCGCCTCCCTCTGTTCTCACAGTCTCTACCATGTCCGGCCCATCGGATTCAAACTCCATAGAATCATCCGTCCCGGGTTCTTGCTGTAAGTTGGCAATGGGAGCGAAAAGGCCGCTGTTACCATCTGGGATTCCTTCGGATTCTGTAACGCTCTCGCCACCGTCCGTCCTCTGGGCTTTGGCTTCTGCGCAGGACTCTGCCGCTCCTGCTGCTGAAAGGCCAGGAGGGGACGGGCCTGCGGGACAGACAGCATTTGGGGTAGGCTCTGCTCCATTCGAGCCATCCAAGCTGCCTTCACAGGCAGGCAAGGCCCCAGGGACACCCGCGCCACATGCCCAGGGAAGGGTGGCCTTCTCCGCAGGTACAGAGCTGTGGCTGATTTCGAGTCCACTACCGTCTTCCCTGCCTGCTTGAGCTCCGACTGTCTGGGCCTCACTGGAGACGTCTCCTGAACGGGTGCGGCAAATCTCAACGGCCGAACAGAGGTTGCTCCTGCTCTGCTCGCCAGGGTTGTGGGCCCCGCTCCGTGCTCTTCCCACGTCAGCTGCCCTTTTGCCTGCATCTCCCGGCGTCACGTCTCCGGTGTACTCCAGATTTCCATTCGCTGTAAGACAACAACCCCCGTCGTGACATGCTGAAGATAAATCTTCCTTGTTCTGGAGAAAGTAATTTGTGTTCTGTGTCACCAGCTTGGCACAGGTACCCGAAGGGTCTCCTTTGAGCAGGCTGTCCGTGAACTCAGGGCCTTCAAAATCTATATCCTCTTCTTGGGTCAATGAAAGTTCTCCACTAAACAAAGTCGCTTCAGAGTGTTTTTCATCCTTCGTGAAGCTGACGTCCACGACAGGCCGCTGAGCCACTGAAGCCCTCTCCAAAAGATCGGTTCCTCGGCTGCTGCTGCTTTCCGTTTCCAGCAAGTCACCTTCATTTAACTCACTGCCAGGACCTGAAGAGTCCCCGGAGGAGGAGGAGGAGGAGGAAGGGTATGAATCCGACCTTGCACTGAAGCTATTCTGAAAGCAGCCACAGCTCTTGGCTTCCTCCAAAAGAGTTCTCTCTTCTTTCACTCCGATAACCAGGCCTCCACCCCTGGGAGGAGGAGGACACGGGGAACCCTCCTCCTTTTCGATTCTGCGACTGCCTGAGGAGCCTTGACCCTCTTCTTCTTCAGTAGACGAATGGACATCATCCTGGAGGAGGGGGAGGCCACTTTCTGGATTCGTGCTGTTCCTTCTCGGAAGGGCTGCCGATCCCTCATCCTCCGAAGGAGGGCCTTCCTGAACGTCTTCTCTGCTGCTCTGCTGTACAGGAGCAACTTTCTTGGGTTCAGGGATTCTCCTCCAAAGACAACTATAAGCATGATCTGCACAGCTCTCCATTCCTTGTTCATCCTCGCCGTCACTGGACAATTCATCGCTGCTCCCTGTCTGCCACAGACTCTCGTCTATCTTTGGTTCGGAGGCCCATTCTTCTAAAAGTTTGATTTTTTCACAGCTGCTGCAGCTGAAGTTTTCATCGCTGTCCGTCAAGCGTTCCGTCTGCACTTCACAGACGACTTGGACATCGGCACCCTCTTCCCACAGCATCATCATCCCCAATTCCAGGTTGCTCTCAAAAAGAAGAGCTGAGGCTCCAGAACCCTCAAAGGGAGCCTTGCTCTCCGCTACTGGCGCTGTGGAAGCGGCATCGTGAAAGTTCATTTCATCTTGCTGGGCAGGAAGCCCGCCACTTGAGATGGCACAAACGGGCTCCTCCTGACCGAGGAGCTTGTCTTCTCCACCTCGTGAACTTGAAAGGACCTTTCTGGCTGCTGATGAAGGGGCGGAGGCTGTCAGATCTTCCCATTCCTTTTCTTCTGGCAGCTGTCCTTCCGCTGGTGAGGCATTGTCCAGAAGAGTGAAAGGCTCTAAAGAGACTAAGGTGCTGACTCCTGAAACGGCAACTTTGGCATGGACTGTGTCTAGATCTGAGCGCTCATTGCTCTCAGGTGAGATACCTGTACTCCCTCGGGTACCGTCCTCTCCTGTTTTACTAAACAGCCCAGTCCCATCAGCCGTCATACCTTGTGTTTCTAGCATGGGCTTTGAGAGGCTTTCAGGTGCCACCTGCACTTTGGCTGGGTCTTCTTCTGCACAAAAAAGAAAATAACAAAAGTAAATCACACAAGGCAGGCCACTTTCCTCTGCACAAACGTACGGCGGGGCTGTCTCTGAATGTTAAATCCAAGGAGAGCAGACCCCCCCGACTCAACGGGGCTCCCTCAGGTCGGCTCCACTGAGGCAGCAGGGTCTGCCGTTCTTGGGAGGAAAAGCTGGACTGAAGACCTGAAGGTTTCGATTCCCAAACTGAGAACCACACACCCTGAAAATATTCAGTTACCACTGTTTCGGTGATAAAATGTTCCTACAGCCAACATTTTAGGCTGCGTAGATGCTTCTACATTTCTGCAAATTATTTCTTTGTTTCTTTGTTTTATTTACAGGCTGCCTTTCTCTTGATAAGGGAACCCAAGGTGGTTAACATTATTAAAAGAAGAGAGTTAAAAACATACTTAGTTAAACATTAAAAAAAGACTTAATAACACTTTAAAAACAAACTATGTACTAGTAATTCAAATGCAATGATTAATAGCAGGTAAACATTTAAAAAATGACCTTCCGAAGTTGAGTAAAGCAGAGAGCAAGAACACACCAACCAAGCAAAGGTAATGGGCAAGGGAAAACATTTTACACATGAGGAAGGTGGAGTGAAGGTACTCTAGGGGCTTCAGTTTATCCAGGAAACCCTGTACAAGCACTTCACACGACTTCTGCCTTTCTACGCCATCTCTGCTTACACACTGAGTGTATGGTGAATATATAAAACGGCCGCAGCCTTTAACCCAGAGCGGGGGAGAGAGAGAGAGACTATATTCTCCCTTCTCGTTAGATTCTCCTTCTGTGGGAGTAGAGATTCGGCCCTGGATATAAGCTAAGCCTTAGTGGGACAAGATGAGCCGAGGGATACAGCCACGAGGTTTCAAATAGGCAAACACTTTTTGTGAGACTCCCAGGGCCTTCTTGCTGTTGCTCCAGAACTCTGCCTGGGTTCTAGAATTCTAACGAGAACCACCTCACTTGTGGACGGATCTCTTTCCTCTGATGTTCACTAACTCAGTGTCAACACGCAGGGGCCGGACACAAACCACAGCAGAGCATCCGCCTCTAAAATGAGGATGATAACTGAGCACTTGATATGTCCGGCTGTCTACAGCATCATCCCACCCTTTGCCCCAGCACAGAAGAAAAGAGGTGCATTTTTATTTCTCTGGCTGGACATTTTTCAAAAGCTCCCCTATCTAAATTAATCTGTTAAAAAAGGAGGGGGCGGAAGCTAATAGCAGAATTGTTAGCTGCCCCCCATTACTGCACACCTTCCCCCATCCCCCTGCACAGAGAAAGTCAATTCAAATCCATATTAATGTCTGTCTACATTTGGCTTCAACGCTGTCATGGAGAAAATACCAACCGAAACACACGCTTATACATATGTACAAACATTTGCCTACCGAGATTTTGCAGCTCTGCTGCTCTTTCAGTGGACGAAGGACTTGGGGGAAAATCTTTCCCCTCCTGGGCCAGCCGAGGCTCCTTCTGAAATGAAAACACGCCATGCACGTCATCAGAGTAGAAGCAGGACTGACAGCACCCAAGGTGGAAAAGTCATAATAATCAGTACAGTACAGAAACCTTTATTGGCATGCTGCATAAATAAAACGATAAAACAATAAAATACCGGGGAAAGATTCATTACTGGGGGGAGGAGGAACCAGAACATCAAAGTTGGAGCCCCTCGTTTTGGGGGAACATGTTGCGGCGTCTCTGGATAATGGCCTGGACGTATCTGGCGGTTGATAGAGTGACTTCGAAAACACGCCATACACGTCATCAGAGGAGAAGCAGGACTGACAGCACCCAAAGTGGAAAAGTCATAATAATCAAGGATACTCCTCTTAACCATCCTCAGTCATCACTAAAATGCATTCCCCCCCCCACATTTATTTTATGCTACTTATGCTTCGCTAAAGAACAACTGAAAGAAAATGGTGGTCAAAGTATGGAACACTCTCTTGCCCAAAATCCGCCTGCCTGTTTCCCTGGGATTTTTCAAACGATCCCTGAAAACATGGCTGGTTCAGACAGGCTCTCCTAGAGTTTGTGCATCGTCATAGTGCAGAGGTTTTTCAACGCTTGTACTACCTGTTCTGCCACCTTGCCTTTTAAATCATTTCTAGTTATTCTGTGTTGTTTTTGTGTATCTGGTTTGATAGGTCTCATTTAGGTTTTTTTTCATATAGTTATTATGTTAAGTTTTTTTAAAAATGTTGTCTGTGGTTTCACTGTGTAGTGAACCGCCAGACCGGCCTTGGTAACCAGATGGGGGGCTGGGGGGGTATAAAAGTTGAATAAATAAATAATATCAAAACCCAGTTTGCCTGAAATGTTCCAGTATCAATTTTCATTTCATTTTACTAATGTTCGCATTATTGATTTTTAATATATGTTTTGTATCACAGGTTCTACAGCTACATTAATCTGTTGCAGCAAAAATCAAAGAGTATTGTGGTCCCTTCGAGACAAACACAGTGAAGATGGAAAAAACTTGTGCAGGCCAGAGTCCGTTTCATCAGCAGAAGCGTTGCCCTCAGTCAGTAAGCGCACACTCGTATACAGGCAGGGAAGTAAAATACACCAGGTAGTTGCCAATGAAAAGGTGAAAAGCTCAGTCAAGGCGACAAGTCTGTTGAAGTTCACATGCACGGAGAACGACCAAGCAAGTTGCCTATGGTGCGATCATTCACCGCAGCAACACGAGAGCCTAACAGAACCCCTTTTTCTCACTGAATTGCTAACAGAATCCTCTAAGTCTGTAAATACCTGTAGCTGAGCAGGAACCGGCTCGAACCCTTCCATCTGACGGTTTCATGCTGGTCTCCCTCTGAACCTCCTCTGCTGAACAATGGCCAGTTTCTGCTCAGCTGGCAACAGTCCAGAGAAGCAGAAATGTCCCCTTACTGCTTTCTGAATGCTGGATTTGTTTTCCTGTAATAACAGGGAGCCATCTTCCTCCGAGTCCACCTTGTTCCATCATGGTGACACTAACTGGGAGCTACAGCTGCCCTCCAGGGTTTCAGGAAAGACTTTTCCCCAGCCCTACCTGCAGGATCCTGAACCTGAGGCGCTCTGCCCGCCAGAAGGGGCTCCATCAGTGCATTATACCACTTCCAGGTGGAGAGCGGTCCATTTGCCCAAGGCAGAATGCTGACGGGAACTCTCGGCAAAAGCTAGCAGGCGTCCCACTGAGAAACGAGCCCAGTGAATGGACCCTTGACGTTGCAGAGATTCTCCGTGGAGACTGGGAGGTCCTGGAACAGTCTGAGCAGGGAAAGGGGGCGGTGCTGGAATCTCAGCCTGAGGGAGTGCCTTGTCCCTCTCCCTGGGGGAGCCTGAGCCTCCTTTAGGTACGGACGGGGCCTCCAGCCCAGAAAGAGGACGGGTAGGGGAGAAGGCCAGGCCCTGCCTGTCAAGGGCCACGACTATGAAACAAGGCTAAGTCAGGGAGAGGGACCCTTTCAGTGTTTTCTAGCACCTCTAGGTAGGCCCGGAGAGGGTTTGGACTCACAACCGCTTCCAAAAGCCCAGCGTCCCTGCAGCTGGTCTCCTACCATCTCGGTTAGGGAGGATTACTGTATGTTCTGAATTCCCCAGATCTTTTCCTCGAGTTGGCTTGAACCGATTCCAGAGCCACAGGAGGTCCCTGCAGCAATGCCAAAAGTCTTGGCTGTACCAGGAAGGACTAACAAAATGATGATGGCCCCCCAGTCCCCAGGTGGCCCCCAGGACTTACCTCTTCTGAACAACAAGCGTCCCGTGCGGTCTGAGAAAACGGCACCAGGCTTTCCACGGCAACGCCTGCCATGCCTTCTGCCCCTCCTAAACCTTCCCTCGGACAGTCCCGAAGGGAGTCCTGCTTCGTTAAAACCCAGCCTGGCGTCTTGTTATCCTCAACAAGACCTCCGGTTTCCACAGGTTCTTTCGGAAGGAGATCCATCAGCCCGGGACAAGGCAGTTTGCCTGCACAGTCCAGCCTTTCAGGATAATTTTGGCGCCTGCCTTTCAACCCATGAGTTCTTTGGTGTTCGGACGGCAAACCGCTACACGTGAGCACAAACGCCGACGCTTCAGGCTTCGCCCTGAAGACTCCAACTGGATCCGACAGAGCCGGATGTTCTGCGGCATGGGTGGAGGGCAGCCCAGAGTACGGTTCTTGCACCACAGCAGACATAGAGGTCCAAATGAACTCGGGCACGTTTCTTCATGGGGTTGATGGCTCTCCACTCTATCGGGCGAAATTCGGTGCCTTTCGTAAATGTAGTTTTTCTACCTCTTCCAAAGCAGACGTAGAGGGGCAGAAAAGGTCTGTATTTCCTGCAGGGACTCTGCACCCGCCAACAACCTCAGAGCAGGCAGGCTCACCAGCTTTTGTGACAAGAAAACACAATATTCAGTCACAAAATGCATGCATAAATAACGCAAAGGAAAACATCTCCCTCAGCACTCTAGCGCCTGCAACTTTCCTGGTGATTAAAGCCTAAACTTTCAAAAACCAGAAGGATTTCATTTCTCTCTCTCTCTCTCTCCTTTCTATTATGCGTTGACTGAGAAGTGAAATTTTTAGAATATTCACCCAAACAGAAAGAGACAGATTTGGGTGGAAATGTTAAAGCGGGCCAGTTATAGATAGCCATTATTGGCGAATATGTTCGCTTATCACTTTGTTTATTTAAAACAACACTCCAAACAAGGCACAACATAAAGAAGAAGTCAAATGAAAATTCTTCTCCCGTCATGCCGACTTGGGAGGCAACGTGTCACCCCTGCAACCAGGGCTGCCTAATGTTAACACCGACACCCACGTAAAGGCAGAAGTGGGAAGTTCTATGCGGTCAGCTTAAGGTGACCCCACAGGACTGGTGAGAGGATAGTGGAATGAACACATTTATCCTCCAGAAAGGGGAAACAGAAGTATGATTATTGCCGTTACTTAATAAGTGACAATGAATACTAAGGGATAACTTGGCACATAGAAGAGGAAAGTAAGGGAAAAGCCCTGGCAGAAGTGCGCTCTCTCTCTCTCTCTCGCTGTGTGTGTGTGTGCACGCGCACCCCCAAGCAAGCCCCCAAGCATCTCCCCACGCCCTCCTCCCAAGGGCCTGTCCTGCACCCAAGCCCCACAGCCTGGGCCCCAGTAGACCACCCTCACCGGGGCTCTGGGGGAGTCCCTCACCCCACCCAGGGGGCTTCCCCTTCCCCTGCAAAAGGGGGGCTGGGGGGTGACCCTGGCCAATCCCGCCGCTCTCCCTTGTCTCTAAATGGGTCTCCCCAAAAAGGTGGTCGCCCTGATATTCCCCCCCCCACACGGCCCTTTCACACACACACACCCCTGCGAGACGAACGTCGTGGGACCCCAGGAAGGCTGGGGAGGCCTCTTGACATCCTCCTCCCCCCCCCTCCCGGCCTCGCGCCCTCCTGTCCTGCTCCCTCCAAGGGCGAGACCCGGGGCGGGGTCCGCTCAGAGCCCAGCATCCCCAGAGCTTTGGGGGGGGGAGGAGTTACTTATTAGGACTCCAGTGCCCAGAATGCCGCACCCGCGAGGGAGGGGGCTTCCCTCCCCACCGAATGACGTCAGAGTGTGTGTGGGGGGGCTTTCCCCTCTCTCTCCCTCGTGCAAAGGCCGCCCCACCCACCCCCGCAGGAGGATCGCCAAAGCCCGAGCCCCGGGAGGCCGTCCGTCCGTCTGTCCGGTGGGGGGGGCAGATCCTGAGGGGGGTCACCCCCCCTCCGCTGGAGCCCCCTGAAGGGCGGGGCGGGCCTGGGAACGGGGGTCACTCGTTAATCAAAGCCGCCCCCAAACTGCCCGCGTCTGACGCACTTGATGCCCCCTCCGCCCCCCCCAGGGTCCTCCAAGGGGGGGGTCCCTTGGAGGCCGTGGGGGGGGAGGACAGGGAAGGTTCCCTCCCTCGCGCCCCTTGTGTGTGTGTGTGTGGGTGCGTACGTGGAAAGCGCTCTCCGCCTCACCTGCGCGGCCCGTCGGCCCCCGCCAGCAGCAGCCGCCGCCACCATCGCGCCGCTCTTTCCCTTCGCGCTCTATGGCCGCGGCACTTCCTCATCCGGGGAACCGCCCCCCCACCCGCGACGTCCATAGAGCAAACGGGCGCCGGAAGGAGCGTCCCGGGCGCTTCGGTTCCCCGGATGAGGAAGGATTCCGGCGCGGGCTCGGGTGAGTCTCTGGGAACCCGCGGCTGCCACGCCTCCCTTTTGTCGTTCCCTCGTCCCTGAGGGCCGCCGGCGGGAGAAAGAAAGAGGGGGGGGCGCAGCGGAGCTCGTCCGTTTTCCCCCCCCACACCCCCCGTGTGCAGTTGCGAGCGAGAGAGCGAGAGAGAGGGAGGGGGCGCTTCACCCCCCGCCACCCCCCGCGGGGCCACCTTTGGTCTGTTCCGTCCATGCAGGAGGCGGAGGCGGGCTGTTCCACTCCGAGCTGCCGGGGGGGGAAGGGTCGGCCGCCGCTTGTAAGAGGGAGCAGCGCTCGGCCCCCCTCCCTTTTTTCCCCTCATTGCCTCTCTTTGATTTTTTAATGCATGCTGAAAAGTTCGCCTCATAAACGTGTCGTTTTTGGTAAGACATTCGGGGTTTCCCGCCCTTTTTCCAGACATGGGAGCCTTTCGGGGCTTTTCTGGCTTTTCAGGAGAAGCAAACGGGGGGATCCTGGGCGAAGGGAAGGCCTTTTGGGCGCCTCTGAGAGGAGAGGAAAGGAGGGAGCCTGGCTAAGGATAATACGTTGCCTTTGTGGAGCCGGAGGGAAAATCGCACCCCCACCCACTCCCTTTATTTTTATTTTTCTATTTTATTTCCCAGACCCTTGGGCCTCTCGGATCAGCCCTGAAAGGTCAGCCGGTCCTGAGAGACTTTTCAAAGCCAGCAGACCTTTTGGGCCTTTTTGGTTTGTTGCTGTTGGAACAAACGCCTCGTTTTTTGGACCTTCTTCGCACTCCGGCTTGCAGGAAGGGCTCCCTTAATAAGGCACATTGCAGAAGAGCAGCTGTCATTAACCTGATGTGTTTGTTTGTTTGTTTACAATTCTTTTTTTAGCTGCGCCGTTACCAGTGGTCTCTGAGCGGCGTACAACAATATTATTGATTGGTGGATTTAAAATATTTTCTCCCTGCCTTTCTCCCTAAAAAGGACCCAAGGCGGCCTACATGCTGGAAAGACAATATTTAAAGCTGAAAACAAGGAGTATACACTAGTGGTTAACATCCTTAACAGCTAAGAATATAAAGAGGCAGCATAGGCCACTAAAATATTAAAATAGGTATGCTAATACCGAAAAAGAACAAAGAAATGCCGCTCTGCGAGATGGCAAACAAAGACCCAGTCAGAGCAGCAACACCTAACAGTCCATCCAAAAGCGACTCGTGTCTCCAGCCACGTAGGCAGTCACTCGCTCACGGAGGGACAGCCTGACTGAAGAGGACCTCCAGCCACGTAGGCAGTCACTTACTCACTCACTCACGGAGGGACAGCCTGACTGAAGAGGAAGGTCTTCATCTGCATGTGGAAGGACATCAAAGATGGGGCCAGGCTGGCTTCCAGTGGGAGGGAGTTCCAGAGTCTGGGAGCTGCAGCCCCTTGAGAAGGCCCTCTCCTGTGTCTCCACCAAGCGCACCTGTGAAGGTGGTGGGACCAAGAGGAAGGCCTCTCCTTTTTAAAAAAAATACATATATTTTTATTGTATTTTTTCTACTTTTTTCTCCTTAGGATCTTAACACCCTCAGCAAGCTCACAGAGGGAGATGTGGTCTTTGAGATAGTTTGGACCCCAAGCCATTTAGAGCTTGATAGGCTCAAATCAGTACTTTGAATTGTGCCCGACGTAGGATCTGAACCAAGCCCAAGGCGCAGCAGTATAGAAAGATTTTGGCCATGGGTTGAAACAAGCGACGCTGGGGCGCTCGCTTGGTGGATCAGATGTTTGAGAGCTGAAGGGACCCTATTCTGGGCAGCCACGCCCTCAAAACGAGCAGGGTGGCTGTCAGTGACTAGCTGGAGGCCAGCATGGTGGTGGAGGAGGAGGAGGAGGTATACGGTTCAGTTCAAATGCAGGAGCGAGGGTGACCTTTAACTAACCATTAAGAATATAAAACAAGAAACAAATTGCCAGCTTTTGATGGCAAATCCTCTTCAAGGCTGTGCATCAAGTTCTCGTGGGCGGTTCCAAACTTAACAGGCTGTTCTTAATGCCCCCGCTTCACATGGCTGATGGTGTGTAGAGGCCAGGTTAGCCTCTTCGCTGGAAAGAGCTGCAACATGCCCGTTGGTTCCAAACTTTTCCTCAGCTCTAAGTGTGTGGAATTTATGGCCCCCGGGCCTCTACCTCCTCCTCCTTTTTTGCCTTTTTGGAACGTGAGTTTCTTTTTAGCTGGGGGAGGGGGGAAGATGGCCCCTAATGGAGACCTGGGCCCAATATACAGCTTGCCCAAGGCCACCCAGGCTGGCAGAACTCACAGGAGGCCCAGTGGGGGAATCGAACTCACCACCTCTGGCTCTGCAGTTAGCCATGACAGTCTCTGCATGGATTTGGCTGGAGTACCCACAGGACCTTCCCCCACCCCCTATCCTGTGTACCTCAGCCACGTCCAGATTGGATTACTCTATACCCTTTGGAAACTACCCTACATGGTGACATCTGGGCCCCTCCAGCAGAGGAGTTTCCCACGAGCACACCACCTTTTCCCTGCACAACAAGACCTGCTGATCGATATTGCAGCCCTCTGCCTCGTGAAATGGGTAGAAGGCATTAAACGTAGAATGGAAATGGAAGATAAATGGCTTTATCATGTGCTGTGAAATCATGTTGTCTAGAGTAAATCGCATTTGTGGGGGGGGTTGTCAGGCTTTGTTATAATATAGAATAAAAAAGGGAAAGATCTCTAATGTTTTCCTTTTATGATGTAGAAAGCAGGATGTTTGCTGAACACCTGATTTCTGCAAACTGAGAAGAACCAGCATTTGCCATTCAAGATGAGAACCAACAAGGTCTATAAGCTGGTGATCCACAAGAAAGGCTTTGGAAGCAGCGGTAAGTCATCGTGTCGTGTCGGTAACCTTTGAAGAGTCCCTGGGCCTTCTTGGTTCTGAAAGGCCCACAAAGTAAGCATTTTGCCCTTTATGATGGTCTAGTCTTACTAACACCTGTGTAGGAAACAGGCCAATTCACACATAAAAGCATAATTTCCACCTACATGAGGACGGTCAACTCCAACAGGCAGCAGAGGTTTGCCAGAATCTATGGCAAAAAAAAAAAAAATTCCCAGCCCCACTCGGAGATGAGTAAGAATTCCCTGGTGGCCTCCCATGTAAGGATGAAACAGGCCCAATCCTGCTCATATGTGAAACTTAGAGGAGCTTGGTGTGTTAAGCTTGTGCGATGGTCATGACTCTTAACCCCTTGAATGTCCAAGCTTCTCCCTCAGTTTCCTTATTTATTTATTTTTATTTAACATATATGCCGCCCACACTACCCAAAGGTCTCTGGGTGGCTTACAACGATTTAAATACAGTAAAAAAGATAAAAACAATTAAAATACAGATTGTGTGTTTCCCTTTCAGATGATGAGCTGGTGGTCAACCCCAAAGTATTTCTTCAGATCAAGCTGGGAGACATTGTGGAAATTGCCCACCCCAACGACGAATACAGGTAGATATGAATCCCTGTGTGCTTCAGGGCAGGAGAGGAAAACGTTAGGAAGTGGTCTGTGGGAAAGGCCGTCTTCCCCGGTCTCTGTAGAACGACAGGCAGCCCCGGTGTGTTCAAGTCCCCTTGTGGTGCAAGGCAGCAGAATCGTGACAGGGGGACCGTGTTTTGTTTCCTCCCAGAGCCTGGCAGAAAGCTTTGACACCACAGGAAGAGTTGGGCCTGTTTGCTTCCAGGAGGGAGTGGCGGGGAGGTGTCCTCCTCTTTGGGCCACTGCCGTGCAGCATGAGTCGGGACCTGCTTTGACTCTCTTGTTGGGCCAGGGGTGAAGATGTTGAAGGGAGGAGGGTGCCTGCTGAGTTGATGCACCCGGGATCTGTAGAGAATGCCGTTGAGCACCAGCTGATGTGACTGTTTTCTTGTGTTGTGTTTCAAGCCCTCTGCTGCTGCAAGTGAAGTCCCTCAAGGAAGATTTACAGAAAGGTAGGGGTTCCTCTCTCTTTCTCTCTGAAGCAGTTGCCAGTGTTCAAATGAGTCCACAGAAATCAGCAGCTGTTTATGCTGTAGCTAAAAGATGGTCCCCGGGTGAGGTTTGGGTAGATTTGGTTAAAAGGCATATACAGTCCGTTTAATTACATTCTAAACTGGAATTCCCAGCTTGTTGCTTTCCTGACAAAATGGCGTCTGAAGGGTCGGATGGCTTTGGCTTTTCATTCTGGGCTTGTTTGAGAGTGAAATGGCAGGCATCCCCATTTGGATACCATAGTAAACTCCCATCCATGCTGGAGGCTTCCTCGTTCGTTTAATGTTTTCCACAGCGGGGAGAAAATGAGCGAGAGCAATCAGGCCGTGGATGCTTGGCCTGTGGCCGGAAGAGGGCCAGGCAGAGTTCAGGGCTATCTTTGGGGGGGACATTCCTTCAATCTAAGCCATTGAGCCGCAACTCAGAGGTTGAGTTGGGTTGTGATTTCGTGACTTGACCCTGTTCCATTTTCTTTTAATTTGTGTTTTTTTTAAAAAAAAAAACATGTGATGCCGATCTCTTAGGCCGAGCCATCAATTTGTCACATTGGCGGCTTGTCAGCGGGGGAGGGGGATTGATTTAAACAGTTCCTCCTGGGGCATTCCTTAAAGCCGGCTGTGAAAGGCGCAGGAGGTTCGTGCGCCAAGGGCTGTTTTCTTTTAATTTGTGTTTTTTTTTTTAATGTGATGCTGATCTCTTAGGCCGAGGCATCAATTAGTCACATTGGCGGCTTGTCAGCGGGGGAGGGGGATTGATTTAAACAGTTCCTCCTGGGGCATTCCTTAAAGCCTGCTGTGAAAGAAGCACGAGGACCTCGGGAGGCTGTGTCCTCTCTCCTAGCCAAGGGGTTCTTTCCTTTCGCAGAGACCATAAGTGTGGATCA